AAAAGGCAGGGAAATTTGATGGAGTACCCCAAAGTTTGATGCAAAAACGCATGATCGCACCGGCTCACCTGGTGCGTTCCAGCCTGGGTTATGCATTTTGCCGCGCAGCACTAAAGTGCTTCAAGTATGCAGTACTAAAGTGCAAATACGCATAATGCATTGACTCTATCTGTATGCGTGTGTATATGTCTTTGTGTGTCGTCTACCTGGATATTTCTACTCAGCAATCACGAGAGCTCTGACGCTGAAATTTTGCCACTGTTTTTCCCTGGACAAGTGTAACTTGAGGAAGGCGATACCAACTACCATGCACGTCTACGTATCACGTACGGGCACATGGGAATTTTGGCGCAAAAATCTCTGGCCTAGACACAAGAAAGTTAAAAAGCTGAAATTTTAAAGGAATGTTCCCTACTCATGTACGAATGAAAAATTTCAAATTTAGCTCCTTAAAACCGTCGGGGTCTCACGTATGAAAAATGAAAGTTTCGGCGGGAAAAACGCTCACTGGATAGCTAGGTCATTATCAAAGAAAGATCATTAAAAGAGGAACTATTCATTTCTAATTCGAGAACCAGAAAAGCAGAAAAGCTGAAATTTTAATGGAATGCTCCGTGTCCAAGTACATCTTAAAGATTTCAAATTCAGCCTCTAGGTATGCATGGCTCTCACATGTGGGCACGTAAAATTTTTAGCGGGAAAACTGCCCACTGAACAGCTAGGTTATTATCAAAGAAAAATTATTAAAAGGGAAATTGTTTATTTTCCTCATGCAAAATTTACGACTTACGCCGGTAAGTGCACAAGGTAAGCGTAAAGTAGCAACTATTTATATAGTTCACGACTTGACTGCTTCAAGTTTAGTGCAAAAACACATGATCGCACCGGTAAGTTGTACGGACGGAAATTTCAGCTTCCTAGTCTTTACTACTGCTGAGTTGAATGTGGGTGACAAATTTCTACTCACATACATACATAGACATATACACACATACAGACATACCTATACACAAACCTACACACATACATACATACATACATACATACATACATACATACATACATACATACACACACAGGGTCGTCAGAATATGTGTTTTTACTGCCTATCGCAATGCTTTAGCGTTGCACGACAAAAACACAATTAGAAAGCTAAAATTGAAGGAGGATGTTAGAAGCCCTAGCACTGCTACGGAAATTTTAGATTCTGCTTCTCTACGTATTTCTAGATATTACGTAAGCACACGTGAAAAGTTTCGGTCCGTCAGAATACTTCGACGATTTTTATGCGTTTTTGCTGTGCGGTGTTGTAGCGCCACTACAGTGAGCAAACCAGGCTGGAACGCACCAGGTTTGCCGGTGCGATCGCCTGTTTTTGCACTAAACTCGTGGGTCGCTAATAGCAGGAATAATTCCTGCGCTGCAGTCAAACACTTGGTCTCATATTGGCTGTGCTTTGGCCCCTTCCGGCATGCAGCAGAATGGGCATCGACTGGGATGAAGGTGGTGCATTATACAGCCGCATGGACCTCCAGGTACATGATTACCAGTTTTTATGCGTTTTTGCATTTATATAAATTGCAAAAACACATGTTGGGAAGAGGTTGTGTGTGTGTGTCTGTGTGTTCGCACTTTTTGTCGCCCACTTTCAACTCGAGAACCAAAAAAGCTAGAAGGTTTGGGAGTATGTGCCCATACTACGCGCGACCCTCCCGTTTTTATGCGTTTTTGCATTTATGTAAATTGCAAAAACGCATATTGGGAAGAG